GCGTGTGCGTGCGTGCCCAAGATCCCGAGAGGAGAACGGAGGAGAGGGGATTGCGGCGTGACCATCCCCCCCGGGGGGTGATTTCTCGCTTTCTGTCTCTATGTCTCTCTTTGTCTGGCGAGTGCACGCGCCCTACAATGAAAAAATCTCTCCCAAAAAAAAAAAATTAAAAAAAAGTTTTGCTATAGGGTGTGTGCACTCGCTAGAGAGGGAAAGTGAAAAGTCAGCTCCCCAGGGCTTGACCGCACTGCAGCCCCCTCCTTCATTCTTCTCTTGGGGTCCGCGGCGTGGGTATATGCACAGCTGGCCTGCCTCTCAAGCTGCTGGGTGTCAGACTCTGAGCTGTGCAGCCGGCTGTGTGAGATCTTGTGCCTTGACCTCCTTGCCACCTGCTGGCCTGCCCCTTTTTAAAAAAAAAATATTTTTTGGAGAGGTTTTTTGCTATAGGGCACATGTGCTCGCCAGAAAGAGAGAGACAGACAGAAAGCGAGAAATCACCCTGCAGGGGGCATGGCCACGCCGCAATCCGTTCTCCTCTCGGGATCTGAATGTTACATGCGCCCGGCGTGAGTTTAAACCACTGGGTCCAGGATGCGAACCGCGGTCAACTACGTGGGAGTCCAGGGACATAGCCATTACGCTAACTGCTGGCCCCAATTTTTTTTTTTTTTTTGAGAGGTTTTTGCTATAGGGCATGTGCGCTCGCCAGACAGAGAGAGACAGAGAGACAGCAAGTGAGAAATCACCCCCCAGGGGGGATGGCCACGCCGCAATCTCTTCTCCATTCTCCTCTCGAGACCTTGGGCACGCAAGCACACATGCCCAGTGTGAGTTTAAGCCACTGGGTCCGGGACTTGAACCGTGGTTGACTACGTGGGAGTCCAGCGACAGCCATTATGCTAACTGCTGGTCCCAGGTCCCAACTTTTCAAAAGCTTATTTTAATTTTTCTAGGATTTTGTCATCAGAGGGGAAAAGTGAGAAAGCTTCTGGGGGAACGGCCATGCTGCACCCCTCCTCTCCTCTCAGGTTCGGGGTGCACACGTGCACCTGCCCGGCCTGACTTCACAGCCCGCAGGTCTGGGAATTGAGCTGCGGTTGGCCGTCCGGGCGTCCAGCACTTCAACCACTGTGATACTTGCTGATCTCTTGTAAAGATTTTTTGAAGTGTGAACTAAATTCTGTGCGTCCGTGGTTACGACATGGCACTTCGTACGTGTGTGTTCTGGAATGGCTAAATCAGACCGTTTGTCATTTCTGGAACTTGGAGTGTGCATGATAGGGCCAAGATCTGAATCGCAGTCGGCCATGTGGGGTCTGGGTCACTTAACTGAGGCTACGGGGCTAGCCCTGGTGCCATTTTTTTACATTTTTACTTTTATTTGGGTTTTTGCAATAGGGTGCGTATGCTTGCTGGAGAGAGACAGCGAGACAGAGAGGGGGAACGTGAGAAATCATCTCCCAGAGGATTGTGGCCAAGCCGTAGTCCCTTGTTCTCCATTCTCCTCTCAGGACTCTGGGCATGCCTGCACACCCGTTTGGTGTATTTTTAGGCCACCAGTTCCAGGACTCAAACCCTGGAGTGGGCTGTGTGGGGTCCAGCTGCCTTAACCACCATGCCATCTGCTGGCCCTGGATCTTTTTTTTTTTTAATATAATTATTTATTTTATTTTATTTATTCATTCATTTATTTCTTAATTTGACCAGAGAGAGACAGAGGGTGAGAGTGAGAGAGAGAGGAAGTGAGAAAGCAAGCCACCAGATTCAGGACTTGAACCCTGGTCAGCCATGTGGGAGTGTCCAGCACCTTAACCACCACGCCACCTGCTGGTCCCGCCCCCTGGATCTTTTTTTAAATTACTTTATTTAACTTCCTTCCTTCCTTCTTTCCTTCCCTCTCCTTCTCTCTCTCTCCCTTCCTTTCCTTTTTGTCCAGGGAGGGACAGCAAGAAAGAGGGAAAGTGAGAAAGCAAGCTGCCAGGTCTGGGACTCAAACCGTGGCTGGCCATGTGGGAGTCCAGCGCCTTAACCACCATGCTGGCCCCATGGATCCGTTCATTGATTCATTCATTTATATATAAATAAATGAATTTATGAATTTATTTGACCAGAGAGGGGCAGAGAGAAAAATTGACTTCAGCCGCAGTTGGCCACGTGGGAGTCAGCGTCCTTAACGACCCGCCACCGTGCGCCCCATTTTTTAAAGCAAATCTTAGTTGTGTTATACGAACGGTAAACAGCAGCACAGTGCTGTCACCATGTTTAATGAAGGCAGCTGATTCTTTGGCATCTGTTGTGCGGCCTGGACTCAGTTTTGCCTTTGTCTTAAGAGTGACTGTGGACGTGGGATCAGGACAGCATCCTTGGTCTCTCGGCTTGTCACTGCCCCCACTCCCACCCTCATCTTCCCGTGCCTCACGTTGGAGGACCACAGCCATCCGTCTGGAGAAGCGCCTACGGGTCTGCAGGTCTCCTGTGTGGTGCAGTTAGACCCTGAGACTCTGGGCCTCTCCAGTAGGGGGGCATCATGGCTGGTACTGTGTTCTCCAGGCTCCTGAAGGCGTGTGGCAGCCGGCTGACCGAGAAGCTCCTGGAAGGCGCACCAACCGAGGATACTCTGGTGCAGATGGAGAAGCTTGCTGGTGAGGCTGGTGCTGTTGCGGGGGCCCCTTGCCCACAGTGGCTGCCGGGGAGGCCTGGCTCTGAATAAGCCAGGAGGAGCCTTCGTCAGAGCTTGCTCCTCAGTCTGACGTTTCTGTTAAATGCAGCCAGAGGGCCGTCTGTAGCGAGACCTGACTGCTTGTGATGACCGGGCGTCGGCCTGTAGGTGGCCTCTCACTCCGCGCTCTTACAAATGAATGTTCTGTTGGGTTGGACCCACATTTTCCATCAAGGGCTGGGGCCCCCCCAGGATCGTGCTCAGGATCTCCACCTCTGGGGCTCAGGGCCCTGGGCAAGCAGCTGACCTTTGGAGGCTAGAGCTGCTCTGGAATTGGCATGGTGGCGAGAGCAGCCTCTCCTGTCCTGCTCTTGTCCCCTGGCTTGGGGTCCCCTGTGACATGGAGCGGAGAGGTGAAAGAGCAGCTATTTCTATCTTCCTCTATGACGGTGCTGCCCTTGGCGAGTGTGTCGAACCCGAGGTGGGGTGTCAGAGTGTCCCCATCAGTGGGCTTTCAGCAGGCTTCCAGAGTGGGCACGATGTTCCAGGCTTGGCAGCAGCAGAGCTCTCCCTCCCGCCCGGGGTACGAAGCCAGCTGGCAGGCCGCCCGAGGTGCAGGGCAGCATGACCACGGCCAACCCTGCCGTCCGTCCTGCAGACTTGGAAGAGGAGTCGGAAAGCTGGGCCAACTCTGAGGCCGAAGAGGAGAGAGCCCCTGCGCTGCTGGAGGGCGTGGAGAGGCGGGAACTGAGCAAGAGCTCCACGGACTCCTTGCGCTCCGACTGCGCCGGCTGGCAGCCCCGGAAGCTGTCGGTCTTCAAGTCCCTTCGGCACATGAGACAGGTAGGTGGCAGAGGGGTGAGCCCTGGTCAGACACTTTGGGGCCCTGGCTCTTCGGACCCAGCAGGGCCCCAGCCTGTGGTGCAGTTGAGTGAGCTGAGCTGTTGCCGGGACCCATGGCCGACCGCAGGCTGGGGCTCGGGAGGGGGTGACAGGACCTTGTCCAGGGTGTCTTTCTCTCTGTCTCTCGTTCGTGCAGTGCTATTGTGAGTAAAATAATAAAAACAAGAAACCTGGGTTGGCCCCGCAGCGTGGTTAAGGCAGCCGGATCCCACGTGGCCGACTGCACGCTTTGACTGTTGGCCCTGGTAGTTTGAGTCCTGGCCCTGGTGACTTGAAAAACATGCCAGGGGTGTGTGTGTTTGTGTTTGTACTTGCATGCGCACACGGATCCTACGCGTATGCCAGAATACCCTCACAGGAGGGCGAGGGAGGAGAGGACATTGTGGGGCGACTATCCCGCTGCTCTGGCGAGCACAGGCGCCCTCTAGCAAATTGAAAAGCAAAAACAAAAGACGTGTTTAAAGAGAGAAGGTGAATGTTACAGAAAGATTACAACTTCCTGGGGACCAGCAGGTGGCATGGTGGTTAAGGCACTGGACACTCCCACAGGGCCAACCAGGGTTTGAGTCCTGAATCTGGTGGCTTGCATTCTCACTTCCCCTCTCGCTCTCTCTCTCTCAACCTCTGTCTCTCTCTGGTCAAATTAAAAAATGAATGAATAAATAAAATAAATAATAAAGATTTCAACTTATTGCTTCAATTTTTTATTTTTTTTTGCTGTAGGTTGCAGGTGTTCACCAGAGAGAGGGAGATAGCAAGAGAGGGAGGGTGAGAAATCAGCCCCCAGCGGGGGTGACTGTCACAGTCCTCACTCCTCCATGTCCTGTCAGGATTCTGGGCATGCACGTACACATGCCCAATGTGGTTTTCAAGCCACCAGTTCCAGGACTTGAACCAGAGTCAGCCGTGTGGGACCCAGCCTCCACAGTCGGCGCACTTAGCTCTGTCTATAGGAGAGGGAGCAGAAGATGACCCAGAGGCAGCGGTGGACACGGGCAGTCAGCGCCTGTGCCGCCCCGACAGGCTGAGCGCCTGTTTACAGGGCGAAGCAGAGCTCTGCAGTGTATTCTGTGAGCCGCAGGCGCATGTCCGGGCCGGGAAAGGTGAGCGGACGTCCTGCATGTGACGTACCTGTGAGGGAAAGCCGGTCTGCGGATGCGGGGAGGACATTCTTTGCATACATCCGAGGGGACTGGTTAAGCTGAAGGCTACGCAAGGCAGAGCAGGGCTTGGTCTTTACATAGCAGGGGCAGGGTGTTCCCCCGAGCAGCCCCTGTGAGTTCCACCCACTGCTCTGCCTGCAGGAAGGGTCGAGAAGAGACGGGCCACAGGGCTTCTGCCATAGCTTCAAAGGGACGTGTGACGTTAGCTCAGCATGCTCCAGTCTGCTTAGAGCCTGTCCCCACATCTCAGAACATGTCCCTGCACCACACCACTTGCTAGTCCCGTGCTTCAAAATCCTAAAGATAAAATTAGGGGGCCAGAAGGTGGCGTGGTGGTTAAGGTGCTGGACTCCGACATGGCCAATCATGGTTTGAGTCTCGGACCTGGCAGCTTGAAACTCATGCCGGGTGCATGTACACGTGTGCCCAGAATCCTGAGAGGAGAATAGAAGAGAAGGGATTGTGGCGTGGCCATTCCCGTTGGGGGGTAATTTCTTCCTTTCTGTCACTCTGTCTCTGGCGAGTGCATGCGCTATAGCTAAAATCTCTGAAAATGAAATTGGGGAAAAGGTCTTGGCCCAGCTTATGACGTGGTGGTTAAGGCCCTGAACCCCTCGTGGCCAGCAACATGATTCAAGTCCCAGAGCTGACGACTTGAAAGATACCGGCTGCACACGCATGCGTGCCCACAGTCTGGAGAAGAGAAGAAATTGCGGCATGGCCATAGCCCCTGAGGGGTGCTTTCTTACCTTCTCTCTCTCTGATGAGCTCATGCTCCCTGTGGGAAACCTTTAAAAAAAAAAAAAAAAAAAAAGGGAGGGCCCAGCAGGTGGTTAAGGTGGCTGGATTCCCACATGGCTGACTGTGATTCAAGTCCCAGACTTGCTGGCATGAAAATCCCACGGGGCATGTGTGGATGCATGCCCAAAATCCCGAGAGGAGAATGCGGAGAGGGGATTGTGGTGTGGCCATCTTCCCTGCGGGGTGATTTCTCACCTTCCCTCTGTCTGTCTCTCCTCTGGCTTGTACATGCGCTGTATGGCTAAAACAGAACAAAAACTAGGTTAAAGGGTGTGAGTGCTTTGGAATCTGGCTTTCAGGTGCAGACGTGGGAACTTCATTTGTCCCCTCGGCCTTGGGCAGGCTACAGACCTTGAGATCAAGACTCTCCCTCTCTGATTCTGTCTTCACTGCACAGAGAAGGTTTCTGAACACAAATATAGGAATGTGTGTCCGCGGGGAGAGGAGAAGGACCTTTCTGTCGGTCATGCAGAAAGCGGCATGCTGTCTTTCAGGTGCTGGGAGCCCCGTCTTTTCGCACGTTGGCCTGGCATGTCCTCATGGGGAACCAGGTGATCTGGAAGAGCAGAGATGCCGAGCTGGTGCAGTCCGCCTTCGACGTGCTTCGGGTAGGGTGCCTCTGCTGCTGTGCACGGCACGGGGCCGGCCTGCGCCAGCGAGGGTGGCTGCCGGGACATGAACCGCGCTGCGGAGCCTTGTGCGCATCCGCGCCTGAGGCTGAGCCCTGCTTGTTTTGTTTTGGAGAGAGGTTTTTGCTATAGGGAGCATGCGCTCACCAGAAACTCAAGAGACAGAAAGCAAGAAATCACCCCCAGGGGGGATGGTCACGCCGCAATCCCTTCCCCTCCATTCTCCTCTTGGGATCTTGGGCATTGCACGCACATGCGCTCGGTGTGAATTTAAGCCACCGGGTCCGGGACTCGAACTGCGGTCGGCTACATGGGAGTTGAGTGACATAGCCAATACGCCAACTGCTGGTCCCAAGAGTTATTTGATTTTATTTATTGTTATTTTTTAATTTTGAAGGGGGGCAGTGGGGTGGGGTGAGAAGAAAGCAAGCCACCAGGTCTGGGATCTGAACCACCATCAGCCAGGCCCGCTTTTTGTCCTGCTGTTGGATTTGGCAGTTGTGCCAGCTGGTGGTGTGGTGGTTAAGGTGCTGGGTCCCACAGAGCTGACCTCACAATTCGAGTTCTGAACCGGGCAACCTGAAAACACTGGGCTGTGCGTGTGTACCCAAAATCCCAGAGGGAGAGTGGAGGAGAAGGGACTGTGGCGCGGCCCTCCACCCTGGGGCGGTTTCTCACTCTCTCTCTGGTGAGTGCACGTGTCCTATAGCAAAACCAAAACCAAACCTGGCGGTCGCAGCTACCTCTGAGCCTGTGCCCCGCCCCCGGTGTCTGAGCCGATGGGGTGTTCTATGGGGGTTTCAGCTGCCGCAGGAGCAGGCCCACGCTTCCTGTGCCAGGGTTCCTCGAGGGCCGGGGCTCCTCTGGCTGAGCCTGCTAGCACCTGGCCTGTAAGTTTACACGGGGCCTTGGCTCAGTCTCTGAAGAGGCTGCCGTCCATGTGGGGCAGGAGCAGGACGGGAGGACATGAACATGGCAGCACGAGGGGACTGGCCGCCCATGTGAAGGTCGGGCCGTGCGGTGGGAGACTCCCTGGGACAAGGACCCTGTGTGGGCTCTGGACTTAGCCTGGGGGCATGGAGCTCGGGTGGTGGAGACGGGCCGGGTGCTGCCGGGTCCTGAGTGCCCTGTCTTCTGCAGACCATGCTGCCCGTGGGCTGCGTGCGCATCATCCCCTACAGCGGCCAGTACGAGGAGGCCTACCGCTGCAACTTCCTGGGGCTCAGCCCGCACGTGCAGGTGCCCCCCCACGTGCTGTCTTCAGGTGTGTGCCTCCCCAAGTGCCCGTCCCGCCCTTGGGCTGGCCATGGCGCCGGCCTGAGCCGTGGACCGAGGACGCCGTCGTCCCTGTCCTTGGAGCGGGAGGACCCACTTGGACTAGCTTTCCTGCAGCCGTACACCAGCGTCCTGCTGCAGTCAGCCGGGGCGGGGTGCGACAGGCGGCCCACGGGGACTCTGGTCCCGCGGTGGGAGGAAGGACACGTGCCCGACGACAGTGGTCCCAGAGGGGCTGGCTGGCCTGCCTCATGCTTCCAAGACCGCAAGGCTCCTGTGCCTCTCCGCTACTGCGGCCCCGCCCTGCTGCCCAGCGCTCTGCTCTCTGCCTGTGGCTGCAGGCCCTGGTCTCTGCGCAGTTGTGGCCACGTGGCCTGACCTACCCCTGAGCTGATGAGCAGCTCCCCCACTGGAGAGCCTGGGCTCCAGGAGCTCGCCGGCAGCAGTCAGCTCGGGGGGTCTCGGAACCGTCCGGGAATAAACAGCCTCCGGCCCAGCCGGGACTTACTCACTTCTGTGAGCAGCCACGGTTGCAGTCGTGGGCCAGTGTACACTGGGCTGAGCAGTGCCCCGCACACTGAGCACACACCTGCTGGGCACATACCTGCTGGGCACACACCTGCTGGGCACACACCTGCTGGGCACACACCTGCTGAGCACACATCCCACAGCACAAGCACACTGCCTGCATGCTGGGCACGCCCTGTACCCTGAGGACATTGCGGCTCCGAACACACGCCCCGCACCCTGAGCACACGCCCCGCACCCTGACCACACGCCCCGCACCCTGAGCACACGCTACCTGGAGCGCACCTGGGTCCCGAGGCTCTGGGAGGCAGCACCTGTCTCTGTGTGGTACGAGAGGTGGACTTGAACCTCACTCTGGGCTGTGTGACCTTGAGTGGCCAACTTAAGCTCTCTCAGTCTCCTGTCTGTGAGTGGGAGCGGTGTTGGGACCCCCCTCCCACCGCGAGCCTGCCAGCCACTGTGGTTGCATGGTGGCCGGTGACCAGCTGAGCTGCGGCGGTCACCCCTTCCATCTGGGCGCAGATCAGCCGCGGGGAGTTGTAGGTCCCAGCCGTCCATCGCAGGCCTTCGCCCGGTGGTGTTTTCCTGGTTGACCTGAGACAGCTGCGAGTGTCGGGATGAGGGGACTTGCAGGGTGTCAGGGGTAGAGTGAAGGAGCTGATGGGACGGCATCTGTGACACAGAGTTTGCTGTCACCGTGGAGGCCCGCCCGGCCGCTCGCTCGAACCCCAACCTTGCCGGCTGCGAGGACGACCAGTCTCTCAGCAAGTATGAGTTTGTGGTGACCAGCGGCAGCCCTGTGGCCGCAGACCGAGGTGGGTGCCCAGAGCGCGGGGAGGTTTGGGATCCGTGCCAAGGCCTGGCTGGTCCGAGCTCACTCCTGCCCTTGTCCCCAGTGGGCCCCACCATCCTGAACAAGATCGAGGCGGCTCTGACCAACCAGAACCTGTCTGTGGACGTGGTGGACCAGTGCCTCATCTGCCTCAAGGAGGAGTGGATGAAGTAAGTTCGGGCTCGGGGCTGGGCCCTGGGAGTCGGGCTCGGAGCACAGGTGGTGGTGGCAGTCCCCATTTCTAGCCAGTGGCCCAGCCCCGTCTTGATTCTTCGTGATGTTTTGTGAGATGTCACCAGTGCCACATTGTGCTAACGGGTCGTGAAATCACGTGATGAAGCTTGGGAACAACCAGTGCCTTTGTGAGGTTCAGGAGAGTCTCACCCCTCCCTCCCACTTTGGCCAGCAGCCTGACCCGGGCTTGGGTGACCCGCACTGGCCCCCAGTGGCCTCGCCTGCCGCACGTCGGGCCTGTGGTGCCGCAGCCCAGCCCTCACCAGCCTCCCTGCCCAGGGAGCCGCTAGGGCCACCCCCGCGGCGGTGCGTGCACCATGGCCGAGTGTCCGGTTCTGGTTCTCCGCAGCAAGGTGAAGGTGCTGTTCAAGTTCACCAAGGTGGACAGCCGGCCCAAGGAGGACACGCAGAAGCTGCTGAGCATCCTGGGCGCGTCCGAGGAGGACAACGTGAAGCTGCTCAAGTTCTGGATGACCGGCCTGAGCAAGACCTACAAGTCGCACCTCATGTCCACCGTCCGCAGCCCCACGGCCTCCGAGTCTCGCAGCTGAGGTGCGAGCGCCGTCTCCGCGACACCTGGGGAAGTGACAGTGGCTCACAGACTGGCTCTAAACTGCCAGGGTGGAGCCAGGACGGAGACCTGGGAACTTGGCCTGGCACAGGAGGTGCCACCTGTGGAAGCCGTGGCCCTGCATCCGTGCTTTGGGAGGACTGGGGGCTGGCCTCGGGTCTCGAGAACGCAGACCTGGGAGCCCACAGAGAACGTGGGTCAGGCCTCTCGGTCATCTGATCTGCAGCGGCACGCCCTCTGAGGGTCGGCGTTGGGCTTTCCCGTTGGGGAGGCCCGTTTTCTGGGGTCTGCTCAGGTACGGGCCTTCACAGCTGTGGAAAGTAGGGGCCGGCCGTGTCAGCAGTGGTTGGTACTCGTCTCGGGTGGGTTTGGGTAAGGTGGCTGTCCCCCCTGACGCTCAGATTCTGACGTGTGAGTCATCTTCAGGCACTGTAGGGGCTTTTGTCGTCACCCGCGG